GTTTTGTTTTACATGTATACTGGCCCCTTGTCAGTGTTTTTCACTGAGCGGGTCTGCATTATGATGCATGATATTTTCTACAGTCAAGCCCCAGACAACTTGAACTGCTTATTCAGATCGTTGGAAGATGTCCATGGATACACGACACGATCAACATCAAATAAATGTATTTACGYTGATGKCGTCAGGACTGAATCTTGTAGGCGTTCTTTTCGTTTTATGGGCTCTAAAATCTGGAATAGTCTCCCTGTTTCTATTAAAAGTCTGAATAAGTTCAAATTCAAGACACTGATTAAGAGCATCTCTCTCTCGAGATTTTAGAAAAAGCAGACGATTTTTTAGATATCGATCAGATTATTAACGAGCTAAAGGCTTCATACTGAGGAACACCTTTGTCATCATTTTATATTTATCCTAATATTTATTGAATAATTTCCTAATATACGTACTCAAACTGTGAATTTTTGACATTTTTCTACTAGTTTTTCTCCTTCATTATCTCCCTCGCCTCGAATAGTCTTGGACTAACTGCGAGGGCAAACTTCAAATGTAAATAAGGATGATTCATAAATGAAACTGTTACTGTTTCAGTTTATGAGAATGCCTCTCAATTTTGGATAACGAAAAAAGTTTTAACAATTATCCACGGACGATGAGGATTCGAATTCCTCGGTTTCTGACCTCCATTTGTAACGGCTTTTCTTTTTTCTTTTGATAAATTTATTAGTTTCTCAACGACATTGACACTAAAGCTAATAGTGACATATGCTTCCCGTCTAAGCGGAATAAATAAAGCAATGTAAACATCATAAAACTTCAGAGAAACTACACGTATAATAATCAATGAACACGTGATGATGGGCTGTTGTTCTCCATAAGAAAATATGATTTTTTGCTTGTAACACAGTTCTAGACATATTTTATGACATTTTGAGAGAAACGTGTAAAATAATCTAATAAAGAAGTTATGTTGCGCTGTTGCTCCTGAACTACAAAGTAGTAGTTTAAGAATGCGGCAGGAAAGAACCGCCCTATCTGTTTGTACTTGTTCATATTGACTAAGCAGTACTTCCTTTACAAATTGCCTATACCCTCTACCTATGGTGGCAATAAAGCGTCTCCACCCCTCCAGACTAGTATCTAAAACGAAGTCCATAAAACGCGGCCTTTCCTGAGTTCAATCATTCAGTGTATCTCAAAACAAAGAGAAATCAAGCCAGACAAAGCGTTTACTCTACTGACGAACGAACGTAAGATGAAGACCCTAGTGATTCTTGCAGCTTTGACTCTAGTCGCGGTGTGGACAGTTGAAGGTAATTAGCCTTTTTTCGTTTTTTAAACAATAAGAAATTTATTCTTCTTTATAGTATAGCATATCACTACGTTGCATCAAAGTGTGTGTGTCCACAAATTTTGACTCAAATGATACGATTGACTGACTTGATGCAGGATATGCGCCATTCCGCTTACGTAGTCGATATATTTTGCAGCAATAAAATTGATTCTTTGCCTTCATTTCACAGGAGGAAGAGTTCAAGATTCCATCGTTCTTCGCGTGTTCAACAAAGATTTGAGAATTTCTTCTGCTAAGATGCACGCGATCCTCAAAAAGGCCAACCTTGAATCCCACGGGTTCAAAAAGGAGGTCATCACTAAACTAGTCCGTCATCCAGTTAGCAAAAAAGCTGAGTACACCAAGACCTACTACTACTACAAGACGGTGACTTGTGACAAGGTTCTAGAAGTTGAACAGGAACTGGATAAGCTTCTTGGAGGTAATTCGCGCTAAATTCAAATCACCTCTCTGCTCACATTTTGCGTTAAAAAACACGCGGGACGGCTTACTTATATTATATGTGGTTTTATCAACTTAGTTGTTAGTCATTTTTATTGAATTAACCATTTCCCTACGGTCATTCGCAAGAGGACTGGTGCCTTTAGAAATTATAATTTTCCCAAATCGTTAGTTTCAGCCAGTCTAAGACCTCGTTTATTATTATCATAAGGTGTACTGGGAGCGAGCGTTTATCGCAAGGCTAAGAAAGACGTCAATAACAAGAAAATCGGCGACCCAACGAAAACCTGTGAATCCGGAGTTGAGATTCATTTTAGAGAACAGCAGCACTGTGGGAAAGAGGCGGACGACGGAGACCAGAACAAACGTGTTGCAAAGCGGGATTGTGGTTGCTGGTTTTGTAGCTGCAATGCTTGTTCGAGAATAGTTAAATACTGATAATTGTAAAACGAGTGCAAAAGTGAATTAAGATATAAGATATTAAAGTAACTTAATCTGGTTTTTGTTTGTACGTATTCTTCAGCTTGAATATTACCATCGCTATTGATAGGTAGTGTCCTACATCATTGTCAGGATTTGCATCCGCCCCTTGCATCCGCCCCTTATAACAGTATTTGCGGTTAGAAGTGGAAGCAAGAGACACAGAAAATAATTCCGCTTCCATCCCTGAAACCTTTTTTTTTATTCTACTAACTTTTTTGAAGTTGAACTTGTTGTTTGAGGAAGCTTTCGATTGGATTGCTCGTGTTTTCATCATCACTATCATCCTTGGCGGCTTCGTGAAGAGTTAGAATTGCTGGATTAACAAGCCAAATGTTACCCTCAACTGACATTACGACATCCCCGTCCTCTTCGTGTACAACCTTGATAGTACCTATCATTCCCAGTATCTGTTGATTTTAAAACATGCGACATTTTATTTCATGATTGTAGCTCAGTTTATCTCGGCCAAAAAATATTCTGGGGTAAAATTACACAGTGTAACACGGCCGATAGTTTTCTCAGAAACTTCTGATACAGAGGTGTTGCGAGACAGATCAAAACACTACTGTACATTCTAATAATAGTCTTCTTCACGGTTCCCTGCGCCATCTTGATAGGTAGCCGTGCCTTTACACCGAAGCGAGACAATCTTTGAGCGTGCAATGATAGATACCTGTGAATAATTGTCTGTAGGTGTGAAAGAAGGTTTCTATAATTGCACGCTCAACGGTCGTCTTGCTTCGATGTAAAGGTACGGCTACCTTTCAATGTCGCAGAGTACCTTGAAGAAGATTATTTTGCTCCCATAAGCACTTAATTTCATATGAATGACAAGCAAGGAAACACACTACATTACCGATAAATCTAATCGCTATTTTAGCACTATTTTATTTGTACATTTGCACGATTTAAGTGCGATCACTCTATAAGAACCATCTTTGCTACTGCGCACAAAAGTCGTTATGTTACCGTTTTCATCTTGTCATTCCAACCACCATGTCCTTCTTGCATCGCCATTACGAACTTCTTGTCGCTGCTCACTAAGACTTTGTCTCCTGCTTTATACTTGGGAATCTTGACAAACAAAAATGGACAAACATATGAATATTCCTCTTTCTTGTTCAAAGTGAATGACCGCTGTTGCACTGACAACAAACTAAAGAAAGCTCTCATTATAATAGCAATGAAAGTTTACCATTTTTTCCGAATTGAAAATAACCCTGTATTCACAAAAGCCTTTAAGCGTTAGGAAAGCATTTATTCATTGGGAGAGCCTTTTATGAAAGAGAAGCTTCTGTCAAATCAGTGAAACAGCGGTTATATCTGAACGTGAAGAAGGAACAGTTCATCGGTGGGGAATTTTGAAATGAAATCTTACTGCTTGATAACAAATGGCGGTCAATGTTTGATCATCATCTTACAAATTGAGGTCCATGAGATGCACAATTATCATTTGAGTGAAACCCAGCAATCAATTTGGATTGATAGGCCTGATAGTGTTTTTATAGGTAACCTGAATTTTGGGCCCCTTTTCCCCTCCCCCTTTCACTATAGCCTCATCGAAGGCTTGATACTCAGGTTAGTGTTTTAGATGATTGAAGATTTAGACAAAATTTAAAATGGGGGATGTTTATTATGGCAATGTATCTACGAGTTTTGTGTATAATGCCGAGAGCATTAGGTGGTGAAATAAAACGCCAAAGAACGGTAGAATATATGTTTGACCTCTGCGAAGTTAACGTCAAATGACGCGCCACTGAGGAGTGACTTGCCCTAATGATACAGAGTAATCGCATGAACTCAGACCATGCATCACTTCACTTTCATATGTGGGTTACCTGTGCGATAGCTGAAGGCGTCAACCGCCATTTTACACCGTCGTAGCTAACTATGACGTCACCTGATTTTGTAAAATCGTACACAACGCCAACTTTTGCAATGCACTGCAAAAATAATTGATTGTATGAAATATGGTTAAGGAGAACCCCATGCAGAGATTGCAGAACGTGTAGATTACACGAAACTACCCTGGCTCCAGAGGTTTGATATTTTCTCTCTTCGCTTTGTTTTTGTTGGTACCACGGGAACATGCGCACAGTGCAAAACGTATAGAACGGTAGAAAATACAGAGAGTGCAGAACAAATAGAATCCATAAAAAATGCAGAGAGTGCAAAACGTATAGAACCAATAGAAAACATACAAAGAGCGCAAAACGTATGGAACGCACAGAAAATGCAGAGAGTGCAGAACGTATGGAACGCACAGAAAATGCAGAGAGTGCAGAACGTATGGAACGCACAGAAAATGCAGAGAGTGCAGAACGTATAGAACGCACAGAACATGCAGGGAATACAGAACGTATAGAACCAATAGAAAACATACAAAAAGTGCAGAACGTATGGAATCCATTGTTTTCATAAAAGTGTGCAGAACGTATAAGACACACGGACATACAGTGAAGAACAGATCGTGCAGAATGTACAAATGATACTCCAATGTCTTCATGGTATCGTTAGTCAATCAGTTATTAATCTATTTAGTAACTTATCAGTGATATAATGATTTTAATTATTTGAATAGTTGAGTTTCTCGATTTCTTTTACGCTGTGTTAGCTTCAATTGCGTGCTAAAATATTCAGAAATGTAGATAAAACTCGTGAGATTTCAAACTATTTCCATTGTCTTCTATACTCAAGGATCTCTTGCATTTGCACGGGCTGTTGTGAATAAAAGAATTTATTACATGGTTTTGAGGCTAACACAGCGTAAAAGAGATCGCTAAAAGGGTTTAATGCTGAATCGAATACGATCGAATTGCTGACTGAAGCAAACCTCATGTGACAATGCAATGCCGTATCTCTAACCTCTTCCATGTTTGCATTCCATCCTCCATGACCTTCGGCCATTTTGATAAGTTCGTCCATTGATACAACTATGCGGACTCTATCCCCTGTTGTAAAACCACTGACCGTTTTCTTGGAACGAGCTACCAGGCCTGGTAAGTGTTCTTTGTAATAGAATCCACCAGACTCTGGGGTTATCACGGTTAGGTCAAGCTATAAGTCGAAACAAAAGTTATTTTCAAACAGAATTAAAAATGAAAATTTTAGTTTATTCATAGATTGGCTTGGTTGCTATTCGGCACATGGTCTTTCAAAACTTCCGTCACTTTTGCTTTCCATACCCCCCACCGTCATTTCGAAACAGGACAGCGGACCTTTAGTGTTTCTCTAATAAAGAACACTGGCTATGAGTGCATCATTTTCTGATAAAGCACGCTTATCGATCAATCAGAGCGCGCGTTGTATAAAAGTTATGTGAAACGCTTTCATCTGTAAATCACCTTGCCGTCGGCGCCATTTCTATATACGTTTTCGTTCTTGGTACGATCCCATCGAACTGCAACACCATTTTTCATCGTTTCTTTCTTCCATTCGCGCAAAGCAATTACAGTTCCTTCTCCTCCTTTGCCGCCATCTTGTTCCCCCCATTTCCAGTCTGGACCACGGGAAACTCGAGCTCCGCTGAACATACCAGTTGCTGGGGTTTTGACAGCTCCTTCTCGCTTACCCACTGGAATTCTGATAAAAGAAACTGATTCTGTCAATCATTCTAATACTGTCAATCAATGCTTGTTATTGTCATTTCCAATCGATCAATTACTGTCATTCTGTCAACAACCTTCATTTTGTCATTTACTGACATTTTGTCAGTCATTGTTATCCTGCCAATCACGTTTATCATGCCAGTCACTGCCATTCTTTTGTTCTTTCATTCTGTCAATAACTGTCATTCTGTCAATCACTATCATTCTGCCAATCACAATCATTCTGTCATTCACAATCATTCTGTCATTCACTATCATTCTGTCAATCACTGTCATTTTGTCAATCACTATCATTCTGCCAATCACAATCATTCTGTCATTCACAATCATTCTGTCAATCACCATCATTCTGTCAATAACTGTCAGTCTGTTAATAACTGTCATTTTGTCAATCACTATCATTCTGTCAGTAACTGTCATTCTGTCAATCACCCTTATATTGTTAACTAATTCTTATAATGTTTATGTTTTATTACCCTTGTCCTCGTGATTCATCAATTCTTATAAATTCACACTCCAAGTCGTGAGTATCAGCCATGTAACAATTTGTACATAGATCAAAGTCGTCGCACTTCAGACACTTCCAGCGCATGCCCAGAAGGGGGTTCTGATTGCATCCATCGCACATGACGTGTGTGTGAATCACTCCTGAGTGTTCCAAAGAAAAGATTTAGAAAATCATYCAAAAACAATAATAAAAATTTTAAAATAAATTATATTTAATACACACTCTAAAAAAATCGCGCACTTTAATATTTACATTAAATTTACAACCTTTACAGTGCGCGATTTTTAAGTTCCAGTGTATATATCAGATATATGAGACACAGCTTTCCGGTGAAAGAAAAAGCCAAAAATGTTTTAACAGATGATGAAACGGCCACCAGTAATTAGTCTCTGGTATCTCATATAAACACGGAAAGAGAAGGGAGCATAAAACACGAGTGTAGTGAGGGCTTCCCTTGCACTCCTGTATTCTTGGTTACCGAGTTCTTTAACTAAAGTGAGTGAAATAAAATAGGTTGAACAAATTACTGTAAATTGCATTGAGTTCGACACGCGTGAGGTTCGTCGTTATTTATGTCTGGAAATTGGTTTGCTCAGCAAAAAACAAAACAAAACAAAACAAAAAATATTTACCTTTTCCGCTACTGTCATACACTCTCAAATCCTTTTTGTCATCAAATCCGGCTCGATAGTTTGCCAATCTTCCAGCTTCCCACTGGACCCATACCGTACCCTCTGCAGTCTCTTCACCCCCMTGAACCACGATGCCTATACAACCTTCGCCACCATCTTGATCTTCCCACTCCCAGTCGGGACCTCGGACAACGCGGCAGCCTAGATCCATTTGAGAGACGGATTCTAATGCTTCGGTCGGTAAACGAGAGGTTTGTTATGCGACCGTTTTGACCTATATTACTCTCAGTCACGAGATTTCCGCAATTGCTACAAGAAAATAACATACTTTTGAGCAAATAATATCGAACAGCAACGATAATTTATCCATTTTAGAACTAATCGTGTATTTTATTCCAAGAATTAAAAAAAATGCCTATTTAAATTACGTGGTATTTTCAATTTCACTTTCAGATTTCGTTCCTAACAGAATTTCATACGATGTCAAGTTGAAATTTTTTTTCAGCCAAATAGAGTATATGTCTGAGAAAATTGCTTGAGTTTGAAATCATTTTAGATCTGACTGAAAAAGGGAGAATTTAAAGGATATTGCAGTGAAATCAATTGAATTGTCGATTCCTTTCGGGAACAGGTCTAGACGTAACAAGCCGAAATGAGAGAAATCGACCCGACTCTTCGCCTTTGAATAAATCCAACCATACGAATATTGATCGGAGTAATTTCGAAAAAAAATTAAAATGTTTTTTGATTTCACTTACCTTTAAAAATGATCAAAACCTTTGGATTGCGATATCCAAAGAACGCTTTTGCACTTATACTACCGTTCTCAGCGAATTGTGTATTGGGGGATTCCCCGTGCAAGATTTGACCTATCACAATCCGTCACGGATGTCTAAATTTCATGGAAAAATAGCACGCGCGCATGCGGAAACAACTGAATCGACGAATCATAAAGATGCATTTTGTATTCTTGTTATATATGTTAATTGTTGTCAGGAATAAATCTTTTAGTGAAACACAATGCGATAAATATGCTGAACTAGCGTATCTGCTGAAGTTATTAAAAGTGCTTAAATTGCTGTCAAATCGAATATTTTTTTTTAGTATTTTTAGTATTATAAGTGTGTGTGTAAATCAGCGTTAATAAAAACTTTACATATCATTTAATACTTCTTCGAAGATGACGAGGCAGTTGAAAAAGCCACAAAAATATCACCATTTCTTTTTGGCGCAGTATATATATTGTATATTTATAAAACCAAAATATATTATGTATAATGACCAAAATCAATCGGTAAAGTTTCTTTTTATAGTGATTTTCCACTTTCATTTCCTCTACTAGAACGTGCGACACCACACAAGGTATTGCGGTCTCTTAAACCTGAATGCCACTAGTCCAAGTTTCGCTTAGTCTGCCTGAAAATTGCCCTGTACATAGTCAGTAACTATTTGACATGCACTTTACAGTCTCTAAGATAAAAACTTAATAAAAAAATTTCAAAATAGTGGAACAGCCACACTTTATTTCCTGGCTACCACTTTCGGATGACGTTATTGCAAATTGAAACTGGCGTCAATTTACAAACGTTTTGATTTTCTGTACAAGGAATTAGTGAAAAATGACAAATTATTACTACTCGGCAAAATTTTTGATTGCTCTTATCAGCAAAAAAAGTATGTATTCTATGTTTGTTCTAAAGGGTAATGAGAGGCATTCGTCCCCATCAGCAAAATAACTGTTCAATGAATCATTTAGATATTTCGCAAATTCATCCAGGTCTATTTATGTGTATTTGTTTCTTCATAAAGCTTGCAGCAGTTCATTCACGTGAGGTTGAGCACCATTAGCTGGCCTTGACCTCAAACTTTTAATACATAGTTTACGTAGCAAAAATTCTTAAAATTTCTTCGCAAAAGCAAAAATAACGAATAAAAAGTATCAGTATCATAAAATACAATAATTTTAAGCTAGCTGTCAAAAGTATACTGATGACAAAACTTGTTCCGCACACAACTGATCGTACAAAAGAAATCAAAATGGCGGATATTTATCGGGTAAAATCGACAAAAAATGGACCAAAATATATAACTGTTCAATGACTCATTTTATTCAAGAGGCCATGTATATTTTTGTGCATGTTTTTTCAACAGCTTAGTTGGCTTCGATTCTAGACAAATCGATTACATGAGTTTGCATTTTTAGCTGACCTTGACCTCATTTTCTAAATACTTACGTAGCAAAAATCATTTTTTGCAACATCGTCAAGAAACTAACGTAGTAAGTATTGTGGTGTAATAAAATACAATGAGCTGGCTGTTCAATGTTTGTTGATAAAGTGCGGTTCAAACGTGGTTAAGAAGTTTGTTGATGCTTTGATGAAGTGTGGTTCAAACGTGACGAAGAAAATTCAAAATGGAGGACGTTCACTGAATTAAATCATTTTGACGTATTCCCATTGTCGTGTTCACTGTACCGATACGATTTAGCATAAATTTAGCAAGAAACACAATATCTATACTTTATAATAAATTATTTTATTAAATGTCTTATTTATCATAAATATATTTGCTATATTAAACTGCTTGTTTTGGAAGTGGTAACTTCCTAAAAATTTATAAACTATAATTAAGATATTTATAAAAGTATAAATCAAATTGAGAGACGTCACAGCATAAAAGCTGTGAAAGAATTCAATCTTATAACTTCAGCTCGATTTAAAAATGTGTACGAAGTAAGACCAAATGTTTTCCAAGTCTATTTGAAACTATCAGGCCGTGCAAACACTAAAAATGCATAGCTTTTAGCGCGGTTTTCATTGACTTGCGAACACAATGTCATTGTCAAAGTTTAAGTTTTTAAATCTGTAATTATGAAATATATTTTAAAATTGTTCAATAAATATGTATAAAAACAACAAATAGCAATAATAAATTAAAGAAAACAAACAAACAAAATAAGCGAGCAAAAACAACCCGAAATACCTAACAAGAGCCAATCTCACCACCTACTACAAATGTGCAATAGCATCGTAAACTAATTACATAAAAAATTTACAACGAGAATTCGAGCTAGATCTAGCTCTTCGTCTTTACTCTTCAGTTTATTGACTCTTCGTCTTGTCAGTCCAAGCGACGCCATTTTGATTTGTATCCGTCGATTTCGTCTTTTCTATTGAAGGTTTTGATTGGCTGCTTTTTCTCCGACATATTACAAGGGCTAGAATAGCCATCACGTGACCAAAAAAGTACATCGATCTGAAAGCAAAAACACGAAAAAAWAATTAATACAAGAAGCCGTTTTTAAATGTAGGCTTCAT